AGTGAATGAAGGAAAGACGAAAATGATTGGCAATTTGGTTTCTGGAAGAAAGGCTGTTTTCTATTTGCATCCCACATACTGTCTCCCATTGTGCTTTTAATGAGAAATTTCTGTTTCTTCATCTCTTTACAATTGAACCCTGCAGGGACCTCTGGATTCCGTGATCTTTCTAACCCCAGTTAAAGAGTCATTTCAGGGCTCACAGGTAAACTATTTTGTCTTCAATACTACTGTATAGTGTTTGCAGGATCTTGTTTATAAACTGGACTTTTAGGAATTAGTGATGTGTGAGAACACTAGGGATATTGGGGAGTCTAGTAGGAAATGAATTCTCCCTAACTCTGACATTTAAAAATCTATAATATACATACAAGTTCCTGTAAAAATATTCACATTCCTTCTGAGGTAATTCAGCTTTGGTATCTAAAAGTGTTTGGCCATCATATTTAAGTTTAAACACAATTGAAAATGTTCCTAATGTTGCCAATAGGAAGTGGTGTTGAGGGTTTCCTTTATAGTGTAAATACTTTTAAACTTGTTTTTATACACCAGAGGATTAAGTGAGGTTTTTTCTCCTTCTCTTATTATTAATTTCCCTGAATGCCTGCCAGTTGCTAACTACTTTTGCTTGCAGACCTCTTGTCACTTTGCTTCACCAAGTGAATGGAAGTGCTTTGGGCAGCATATGTTCTTGTAGTTATAGGATGCCAGTAAATGGAGTCCACTCGATGCCTCTTATTTTACCAATTATTTAATAACATGCATAATTATGAGAGAAATCATAGTATAGGAAGTTTGAAGCTTTATTAGTTTCAAGTGGGAAATATTGTCGAATGTAAAGTTGGAAAATTAGTGATTTTGTTTTGCTGTCATTTGAATACAGACCCTCAATGTTTTCAGCATGCTACCCTTATAGAAATTCTTCACCTCTTTCCTCTTTATCACAATTAATTTCCAAATGTAGAAGAATAAAATCATGGAAATGGAATGCACACCTTGGAGATTAGATGGTCCAACCTTTTTTTTGCCCTGTGTAGGAATCTCTTTTATAGTCCCACATGGATCTGGCATCTGGCTATCCAGCCTCTGTCAGAACACTTTATGTACTTCCAACACAGACCATAGAGGGATAGGGGTGAAGAGAAATAAATAGCTCCTGCCTCAGCTTTGTTTCCAACTCTGCCTGTAGAGTAACACCACACCACTCTATGGGCCTCAGTGTCCTCTGTAAAATGATAGGACTGAAATAAAATCCTCTGTGACCATTTCTAGATTAGCCATTCTGTGACTCTCTCAATAGAAACACATACAGATGTTCAACTCTAATTGCTATTACCTTACAAATTAGATTTTTAAAAATATATTTGTTGCCCTAACCGATTTGGCTCATTGGATAGAGCATGGGCCTGTGGACTGAAAGGGCCCGGGTTCGATTCCAG